AGTATTTAAAGATATTTTTAAACAAACTGTGTGGGAGTTTAAGATAATAATGGTTTCAGTTTTTCAGGAAGCACTTTTTGGAATGTAGTGTATGACTACTTTAATATTAAAAATGGTCCCTCATACGAAACAAGAATTCTGTAAGTAATTTGCAAGAAAGAGTATGATAAAAATATGTTCAATTTATTCACTTTTCCATTTTAAATTTATTTTTCTTTTGGCATAACAGCTGGAAAGAACAATCTTTTTTTCCATAGGCTAGGCTGTTGCTTGAATGACTGAAATGCATTTTCCCAGGAGAGATGCACAGGTTCATTTCCCATCTGGGTATTTTTTTCCCCTCCTGTTTCCACTTCCCCTCCTCCAGGACCAAAGCAGATTGGTAATGAACCATAGGTTTCCACTGATATAACTCCATACACACCTAAGACATATGTCAAACACAACAGTGCTCTGAGTGCAGTACAGATCAGCCCAAAGGTATCTGTGTACCTCTGTCTCAGTCCTTCCTCTAGGCCTGTCTGAGTGGGCTCCAGTACCACATCTGTAGGACAAAGGCACATGGACCTCAGACCAATGTCTCTGGTCAGTTAGGAACTGGGCTTAATCCCTTCAGGAGGAAGAGCACAGATTCCTGTGGAGTCCCTGAGGATTCAGTCCTCAGGGCTGTCCTCCAGGGGACTGGCCTTGTCCATATGACAAGTAAGATATCCTCACCAATGCCACCACAGTCACTGTTGAATCCACGGCATTTACCAGTGAAATGTGCTGGCAGCATAGTGTGGAGGGCTAAGAACCCAAATTGTGAGGAAGTTTTATTTAATGAAGTAGAAGCTGAAACACTGAACAGGGACTTCATATGATGATGCTCAATCCACAGATTTTTTTTGCACAGTTCTGGTGCTATTCCATGACTTTTCTCAGTTCACTCTGTGTGGAATAATGTCCGTAAGGTGAATAAACCTTTCTTGCCTCTTTCCTGTCTTATTAAGTTGCAGACTGTTTGTGTCAGTGAAGGATAAAGCATTCCTTAGTGCATTGTGAATGAAGGCTTAGTTAAACCTAAAGACAGTAAGGTATGCAAACTACATTGGCAATAAACACTATTATATCTGTATCATCTCAAAATTATCATGCTCTAATATTTTTATAGTACCTTTTCATTGATGGGGACTTTCTCAATCTGACAGTATTTCATTGACTTGTCCATGATCTTAGCATCAATTAAGAGAGTAGAGGAGAGGAAATGGTTCAGGTCTATTAATTTGAGGTGTTTCCTCTTAATTTTGAAACTCTATCAATATATTTTGGCTTAGTATATTTGTATTTTTTTATTTTTTTTGCCTTAGCCAAAATGTATAAGGCATTGGTTATTTCTCATTGGTTTATAACTACAGTGTGATAGATAAAATATCTGAAGTGTCACCATGAGTTGTCATGGGACTCTGACATGAAGACTGGTGAGTATATAAGAAAACTGTATATGGAAATTCTGACTTTTGCAGCTGGAGCCTTCATTCAGTGGATATGTTGAGTTGTTTCTCTCTAGAGGCCATTGACACAGGCACTTGGGCTGACTCAACAGGAAAATCTGGTACTTTTGGAGAATTCTCTTGAGAAAAAGGTGTTGCAAAGGTGAAACCAATATTTTTACCAGTCCAGCCCTTTTGGAAAGCAATTTTGTGCAGCACAATAAAATTTGGGCCCTGTAGTCAATGCTTTCATTCCTTCTAAGGCAAGAAAGAAACCACACATAATATATTGCAGAGCAGGCATGCTAATTTTTAAAGTGATTTTCCAGGCAACTGAGCATGTCCCATGGGTTCCACCTGCAAGCTGAATGTTTACGTTTAACTTTGGAAAAATCTTTTTTAGGCTACCGAGAGATGAATATGGCTGTGTAAATGCATATTTTAGAGTCCCTGCAAAGCTTCCCATCACTAAGTGATCAAAGCCATTTTCAGAGGAGAGGTAACCAGTGCCCAGCTGTGAGCACACCCTAAACCAGTGGAAGAGCCCAGGTGTGTCATCCCAAAGCAAGTGGGCTAAGGGAAAATGACACCAGGACAAATCTGCGTGTTCAGCTCATCTCAGCCAGCTCTGTTCAGAAAACTGATACAGCACAGTACTTAAACCACTTAAACCCCCCAAAATACTGAGCTTGGCTGTTAATTAAAAAGCAGGTGCCTAATTTTGAGCCACTCTGCTCTAAGCAGCAGTAAATATTGACGCAGAGTAGAAGTCAATGCTGTGAACATTTCACTGTGGACAGCTAAACAGGCAGCATAGTCAATTTTCCAGGTTGCATCAGGAATCACACCATCTTTGGTGTTGTTATTAACACCTGTAGGATTTAAAGAAAAAAAAAACACCTTCTTTATTTCATTTTAGCAATATGAGCATTTATGGCTCTTCTGTTTGCCAAGAACAGTTTGGAAAAAAGGAACATTTAAAAGATCAATGGATTTTATTTTAAAGTAAATATTTATGATGGGCTTTAAAAGTATTGTGATTTCTACACCAGCTTCACATTATTTTGGGACCTGACTCTGGATTTTTGAATATTGATGGCTGTCAATTTTGGACATGAAATCAGAATGCAGTTCCCATCCTTAGCTAGGTGAGTGAAGGAGGTACTGCATACATTTGAAATTCTAATTGGATGCCTTAGATCTGCATCTATTTCATGTAACTGATGATAAATATAAGTTAATAAATGAAATCATGTTACATTTCTATGCATATGAAAAACAAAAATCTGTAACCTATAGGATACTCTTCTGACCCAGAGGAAAGTAAAAAATCTAAACCAACATAATTCTGAAATCTTCTTTTTCATGAACACACTGAAAATACAATAGTTGCGCAGGATTTTGTTCATGTATTGGGCTTTTTCAGACTGGAAGATTTCCAAAGTCTGCTCAATGTAACCCTAATACAGGCAATAACTCAGATGAGCTTTTAGTAAGTTTCTCTGGTTTGGATGCTACTTCAGCTTTTTGGACTTCATAGCAGGTAATAATGGAAACACTTCTAATTTCTCACTGCAGGGGGGAGAGGTGTTTAAAATTCACACTCTCTAGCCAACTTTGATTGGAGGTAAGGTAATCATTTGGGGTATTAAAGAACCTTGGCAAAAATGAGATGTCCTCTAAACAAAAAAAGGGAAGTTTGGCTGGAGGTATTCAAACAGGTATATGAAGATAGGTAACTGTATCTGGGCAGAGAAGTTTCTAGAATGAGAGATACAGTCCAAAATCAGAAATCTGTATTAATTTGCCCTCCAGATTAGAAGTCACAAGGAATCTTCTTATCTGTATTTAGAATGATAAAAAATAGGTTGATCAGAATAGGTTATTTTCAGGTTTAAAGTACAAAAACCACAATCTCTGTTTTGTAAAAATCACCTTAAAATATTTAAAATTCATCCTAATTGAGGCTCTGGTTCACTTTATTTTTTAAGATAATCTTTCTCTATCAGCTATTCTCAAACTAAATTTTGCACAGTCTCACCATTTTCCTGTGTAGAAGATACAACTCTAGATGGGTTTCTTTTTTGTCTGGATTTCCCATCCTTCCATTTCTGATGTGTTTACATGAGGGTATTTTTAGGACTTTATATTTTCCTAGTTTAGAAGCAGCAGAGTGCTGTGAATAGCCTAACAATTCACTGGAACTTTACAGTATCTTAACCTGAGAGAGCAGACTCCTAATTATAAACTAAGTACAAACTGCAGCCTTGTCAGAGTGATTTTATTATCCTGATTGCATCAATTTTGACCCTCTATGAGGCTGTGTTTTTTGGAACATCAGGAGTCTAACAACTGAAAACAAGCAGAAGACAGCTGCTTTTGGCTCACAGAAGTCTCTGTGAGATATATTTAGCAATTTAGCCTTCAAAGTATGCTGATACTATTGTAAGATGCATCATTTCTCAGTAGGACCCACATGTTTGACTTAATCTGATAGAGTTCTCCTTTTTGTTCTTAACCTACTTCCTTTCCAAGAGGTAAGGGAACTTCAGCAGCAGCCATCAATAGCAAATGAAGTGGGAGGAAGCAAAGAATGAAAAATAGGCTATGATTTATAAAAAGAATGTAAAAATCTGTGATTATATAATGGTGCACAGAATATGCCAGCTACCAAAGAAAACTATGACATCACTGTTAACTTAGTGAGCTCCCTATTTATCTCTGCTCTGACATAAAGAAAGCTTCCGAAGTAGTTTGAAACCCATAATCTTCAAGTTACAGGTTGAGAAATGATCCCTCAGCCCAAACTGAAGTCCTAACTGAAGAAAGAGAGCTTGTTATCTGAGGGAAAGTCATCGATCCCAAGTTAGCTTATATTTATTCTCACTTGAATTAGAAAATGAAATGAGATTCCACATAGATGTGGAATGTCCCCTGGAGTTTTTGAATTGAGAAAAGAAAGTAATGGAAGGTGGATTAAGCCAGAAGACTTAGTTGTGAATCAATGTTAAATAGTGACCATATACAACAAAGAATTCTGAAAATCTAATGGTTCTTGGAAGGGGAAAAGACCTTATGTAAAAATATGGGGTTTGCCTCCTGTGGATAAAAGCAGGGTTTGGAAAAGAGACATGTGTCTTTAAATAATTTCTCTGCTGCCCTGCAAGGACAGAGGGTGGCAGCTGTGACCTCGCACTCCCCATCCCCCTGTTTTTCTGCTTTGTGAAGCCAGCAGGGCTGCTGCACAGGGAGTCCTCTCAGCCACAGGTGAGCAGCTTCACCATCTGCAATCCTCAGTGGGCCAATCAAGCTGGCCCTGCATGAGGTAAGATGGACAGTCCCCCCGTGAGCCACAAATTCCCTCTGAAATTTCAGCAGATCAGTGTCTCTGTGGTTTTTAATTACCCCTTTGATTCATCGTTATTTCATGGACTTACCCAGGCCCTGCAGGACACGGCATCACAGAGCACAAATAAACAGCCACCGAGCCCTGGAGGTGCTGCAGTCACCCTCCAGAGGGAAATGTCACAGTGGCAGGCTCCTTTCCCTGGGTAAACTGACCTCAGGGTTTCCAGGGAGGTTTCTGCCTCAGCTGAGACACAAGAGCAGCCACTTCACCTCTGTGTTCTGGGGTAAGAGCTCTTATATTTCATAATAAAACTTATTCCTGTCGCCAAGCACAGGCACAGAGTTCAGAACGGATGGTGGGGTTTCTGCTCTTCCCACTTCTTTTCTGAAGAGGAAACCAATCTATCCCTGCAGCTCCTGTGTAGTAGTAAGCCATAAATATTTGAGCACAGTGCAGCATAGTGTCCACCCAGAGAAGACAGTGAAGGCATCCTGAGAGATGCTCAAACAGACCCTGATTCTAAAGTACTTGCATTGGCTTGCAAGAAAGAAACACTTCCTGAAGGCTACCTGCAGCATGGTCTGCTGCAGAGATTGTTCTGACATGTGTTAGCAGTGGTATCTGATGGACAGACTTAAAGAAATAATACCTCTCTGTCCTTTCCTCTTCTTCCCCAAATCTCCTGGTTATGTACAGTACAAGGAGAATGGAGTACGTTTTTTGGTTTAATTTGTGAGCCAATGTGGCTTATCAGGGAGACAGCACTTACCATGTGGGCAGCACAAACTAGATAGGGCTGTAGGGGGAAATACGACAAAAAATTATCAATTTTTTACTGGAGCTCTTTAGTAAATTAATAGCCAAAATGCAGTTTTTTATCAATGAAGAATGGCAATATCACTTTTGATTGATATTGGGGTAAAAAATCATGAACTGCAGCCCTTGGAAGATGATGCTAGAATGTCTGCCACCATGCTTGCAATGCAGCATGCAGTAGCATTCTGATGTGCAGTACTGAGTCTGTGCATCAGCAGGGCAAATTCTCCCTGAGGGGGAAGATCTGCTTTCTCAAATCACCACTGCAGAGGGAGACAGAAAAGACAAGGCAAACCACAAGTGCATGCTCTGTAGAAGAAAACAGACCTGGGAGAGAGCTGCTCACACCTCTCTGCATCAATCATTCATGGTACTTCCTTCCTAGCATCAGAGAGATGAGACACCATGACACAGAAGATGCTTCAACATGTAATTTGTAAGCATGTGAGCAGTAGTCTTGCTGGGAATGATTCTGTGTGGGTTTCACAAGAACACATCCCTGAGCCTGTTCCACTGCTCCTTGTGTGGTCCTTGTAAGGTCAGTGACCACAGCATAGCAGAGACTGGGAGAGAATGGGTGGAGGAGGTGCTGCCTCCCCTGCTTCCACACACCGATACTGCACAGCAAACATGACCTTCTCTAGTTCAGGAGGCCTGAGACAGAAAAACATCTCTCTCAGAGCTCACTGAAGATCAGTGGATGTCTTTTCTCTCTGTAACATCTGTCTGCCCATCCTGCAAATGATGGGTGATATTTCCTCACAATAGTTCTGGTTCGGGTGTTGGACATCCCGTGCAGAAGCTTAACATGCACTTTTCCAGTGGCCGGTGATATAGAAAAGAAGAGGCTATGCTGATACCTTCATCAGTGAAAATGAAATGAAAAAATTAATTCAAGGCTCAACTCTGGCTGGCCCTATGCCCTTTCCTTCCCTCAAAATGTACCAGTGGAAGAGGCTCTCTCTGTTTTTCCCACCCTAACAGCAGTATCTGTCCTTGGGTAGCTGGCACTAGCTGACAGTGCTCTGTGGAGAGTGTGATAGGGACAGTTATGAGACTGGAATAAGTGAATTCCACATCTGTATTGGGAAGGAAGGTGGATATATTTACTTTTTCTCAGGAAAAGGGCCTTTCATTAGTTATATATACCTGAGGTGGATCTAATATAATTTTACTGATACCAGGAAAATAAAAGCAGGTGAAGATGGGATGACCTAAATGCACACAGCAAGGAGTGGCTTTATGTTAATTGAGATGAGAGCACAGAGTCTAAAACTGTCATGTGAAGGCAGCTTGAATTAATTTTTTTAGAGGAGGTATTAATTATTGAGTTGTGGGCAGAAAAAATCATTTACTTATTAAAGCTCTGTGTATCTGGAGTTGGTTGTTGGAATGAAGATAATACATGCAGCTGACTTGCTCCACTGGGACTGCACGTAAAGCTTTGATAACCACTGCCTGACGGGATGAGATGCAGCCATGGTTAGACAGATAACCCCAAGAACCAGATCAAACTGTATAGCCCAGATTCTCATCTCAGATACTTATCAACCATATCCCTCTGTGTGGACCAGCTATGCATATTTAAATTCAGGCTTCCAGCTGCTTTGATTGGATGGGAAGGTTCCTCATCCATGGGAAAATATTGTCATGTTTTTCCTGGGTAATTAAAATCAAGTGGTCAGTTTAATGAGGAATGAGATATGGTGTTCCCTTTAGTTTCAGCTGCTCTTATTCAAATACTTGTTCTAATAAAAATATGGGACGTGGCTTTTTGTTTTAGAAGAAAACAGAACCCTGAGGTTCCCAAAAGGACTGCCAGTAGTGTCACATTTTCTGGAAATTGGGCCCCTTATAGTTAGTTGTCTTTTACAAATATGATCTGATTTTTAAAGTATCTTGGCAAGAGGCCATTTGCCATCTTTGATCTGTATCCTGATATGTAATTTAAACACACCCAAATGTATGAAGCAGTTACCCACTTCAGACAGGCTTTGCAAATGAAAGTACAGGTACTGACAGCATTTTTTATTCTGAACTGTGTATGCTGGGACAGAAGAAGTTGGTAGGTAAAGGGCCATCACCTGCAAACACATCTCTGCAAGAAAATATTGAAACCTGATTTTGAAAGACCATCCAAAACTCCCCACTTTGTGCAAATTATCTGAATTTACAGTCAAGTGTAACACTGCTACAGGCTTCAAGTTCTCTGAGGGTTGTATTGGACAAACTCATTGAGCAAGCTGTTTGTGTAAAAAAAAAAGGGAAAATAATAAGAAGAGGCATATGTTTCTCTCTCACTCTTTTTTTGTTGATTATCTGCAAATGATTTGCATCCTAACTATACATTGCAGAATTTACTTTGAGTAGCAGATTAGTGCACTGCTTCTCTGCTGACAACACCCATGGAGGAGCATCAGTCACACACAGGACCTAGCGAACACGAGGGGTGTCAGAGAAGGCACCAGCTGCATTTCACACCAGTGTGTTGTGAGTGCTGTGGCTTGCACTGTGGGATGGGCTCAGGGAGCACAAACTGTGTTTCTTTCAGATGAAATGAATATAGAAGTGCTCTGTAGTCAGACCTAATGTATTCCACTTGTTAATGTGCATCAAGTCCATGGGACCAGACCAGAATTAGTTTGAGGTAACCCCCAAAAAGATAGGCACTGCGGACCCAAGGTCCTTAGCACAAATTATTCACTATATCTGTTTATTCCTATGTATCAGCTGCTTGCAAATATGGTCTAAACCAAAGAGGCACATTGAAGGATGCCATAAAAAAAGTAGCTGAAGAAACTGTATTTCCAGAGGCACACTATTATTTATCATTTGCACTGAAGCAATATGTATCAACCCTAAATCCCCCATTGTGCAAGGTGTTAGATACGAACACAGAACAAGAAGATGGTTCCTTCCCCTGAAGAATTAGAACCTGGAAATATTTTGGGATGGAGCTTTTCTTCACAATCCAGCCTGACATGTTCCCAGGTGCTGTTCTGGCATGAGAAAGCTGTAAATTTAGTCATGCAACTTAGCTCTGGGAAGGAGGTGGGACTGGGGAGAGGAGTGTAAGATTTCACAATGCTCACTTTTCCTTGTGTCTTCACTGGGTTGAAATGGATGGAAAAAAGCCAATAGCCAGCAGAAAGTGGAGGCTGGGGGAATACAGTACTGAACCGATATCCTGGCGATTTATGACCTTCCTGGGACACTGTGAAGAATAAGTGAGTGACAGATTATCTGCTGACCTGTGGGATAGCTCATTTGCTTTTGTTTAAGCAGCAGTTTTTCAGCAGAACACTAGATCCGATATATTTCTCTGTTGAACTGAGGTACCTTACTGCAAAATAAATATGTCAGTCAGCAGTGACACAAGTTAATTTCTCTGGTGGAAGGGGTTTGTCTAACTCCAAAGGAAAGCCTGAGAGGATGCACTGTGGAAGTTAGGAGGCAAAGATTGGGCAAAACAGAATGGGAAAAAGACAGAATGAGTCAAACTGATGGTGGGGACAGGCTGCAGAGCTACCTGGAGGTATTTGCATGCCACAGACAGACCTGTGATTTCTGACTCTGTGTAGTGCTTTCTTAACTATTCTTTCCTTAAAGTTTGTACAAGTTTATGGTTCCTGCACTGAGGTTAGTACTTCTCTCCTGGGGTCTCGTCAAACTTAAAAGCTGTACTATTCATTTTCATAAAAAAACCCCCTCAGAAACCCAAGAAAAAACAAACCATAAAGCTCCTTATATTGTCCCCCTTCACAGACATATTTCACCTGATCCTTCATTTGCTTACACCTTAATGTTTACTTTGTGAGATAACCCCTTCTGCATTAGAAGTCTAACCTTTTAAAACTGGACTAAGATGATGAGGCAGAACTGTCCAGCAGAGAACCGAGGAGGATGGTCTGGCATGTTCTTGGTAGAACAAGCACTTCCACTGTTTATACTTAAATTTTAAACTATTTTTATTTGTACCAGTGGGACTGTAAAGTTAATGTCTGCAGCAGAAATGGGAAGGCTACATGGCAGCTAATATTGCCAGGTTTTTTTCAAAAAACAATATTTCAGAAATCACAATTCTACTGGCTTGCTTTAATGTGAATTAACAGTGAATATTCACGGTCAGGCATATTTTGAGATCACAGACACAAGACATGGGGAGCAAAGCCTTGCACCCCATCTGACCTTGCAAGAGATCCAGTAACAACAACAAGGAACAGTTAAAAAACATTTCTCTCCCCAGCACCGATTGCCTTAGTCTTGCCCTCTTAATAAGCATTTAAATAATGTAAATGTGAAGGGTGGTGCAGGAGAGAGGAGGGGGGGCGTGCACACAAACGTTTCTGACTCTTCTTTTTCCCCCGAACACTGATGCCATTGCATAATTATATGGGTTGGCTTGAAAGAATGAAACCCAGTTCAAAATGTATGAGTTCATTTTTATGTTCTACTGAGAAAATTTATTCAGTGTGACTGCTCAGTAGCGAGAGCAGTAAAACACCTTAATCCCTGGTTGAAGAAAGGTAATACCTTGACAGATGTGTGCCTCCTACTTTCCTTGCGGCCATGTTTCAACAACAAACCTTTATTTCTGCTTCTCGGCTGTAGCAGAAAAAAAAAAAAATGAGCGGAGCAATAAAGCAGTCAGACAAATCTCAGGAGCCAGGCGGCAATGCAATAGTAATGACAGATTTTTAATGTGGCAGGAGAGATTGACAGGAAAATGTCTTCAGAGCAAACGCACGCCAGATGGAATGAAAACGGTTTATTGGAGTATGGAGGTGCTGCTGAACTGAATAGAGGGCGGGTTTAAGGTGGGTGTTTTATCTGCTTCAAGTAAACAACAACAACCAAAAAAACAAAAAAATTCCACTCACCAGGTATTGCCTTAGACCGGTTTTTGCACCAAGGGGATATTTTTTGTTTGTTTGTTTATTTGTTTCTTTTTCTACAGTATTGCACCAGAGAAAAACTTTCAAGTCAAAAGTTCAGTCATTACATGTACTGCACAAAAGGAGAAGGCAAACTGGTTTGGTCTCAGCTTTTTTTATTGTTTGCCTCTCTTCCCTCCTTTCCACCCCACCTCTCCCCCTTAATCTGAAGGAATTTCTCACTCACTGTGAACAGATAAAGATGTTTTGATGTGCTTTTAGATAAATCAGAATGATTTTTCTTTTCAAAAAGAGAACGAAAAAGAAAAAAAAAATAATTCCAGCTGATAGAGTAGCTATCAAATCTAGGACAGAAGAAGAAGCCTACACTAAAAAACCTATAAAAGCCCATATAGCTGTTTCTATATCAAGAAGAACCACATCATTGTGTCTTTTTCAACTGAGTAAACTTAACTTGCATGCTCTTAGTAATGATAATAAAGTCAAATTCAGCCCTACATCTCACAGGAAAACATAACTATGAATTATTTTATACCCTCCATACAGAGCAAAGGCAGGAGAACAGCCATAAATGGGAAGAAACAGCACAAAAGAAAGGAAGAAAATACAACTCTAAACTGTGAATCTCCCTGACATATTTTCATTATCAGCCTAGTCAATGAAGAATGCCACAAAGGAAAGGACAGCATCATATTATTGAAACATGATGGTTTGGGGTTTTTTTGAAGGATGCACTTGTATATTCTCTGTGGGTAGCTTTTTTTTTATTTCATTATATTTGCCATTATTAACTCTCTGTAACTGTGTTTTACATGCAGGGTTTAGATTAAGTGTTTTTCCTGTATCATATACACTTGTACCGTTCTTTTTAGAGTTTTTTCCTTATGTAAACACATCAGAGAGAAGATATTGAGTTACCTCCTTTATTTGTATTATACTTTAAAACAAAACAAACCCACCCTTTTTATCTCTGACAACGTGCTTCTTTTTTTGCTAAGGAATATTTATTTAGACAGTAAAAAGATGTTATGGTTCCTTCCACTAGTAGAAGCGTATGCACTGAATATGCTCCAATGTAATTTGCAGAAAGTGAGGAAAACACTCTGGAAAAGTAAGCAGGGAGTTTTGCCATGTCGTTTCATCTGATAACTACAATACTACGATAACAAAGCTTTAGGCAATATGCTTAAAACTGACAGGAAAAGTAACAGGCAAAGTCTTATAATGATCCATTTATATCACGTATCTTATAAATTTACTGATTGCTCAGAAAATGTCTTTTTTTTCTTTTCATGTTTTGTCTTGTTCAGAATCCTGCTATAAAGTTCTATTTAACTCTCCTTTTTTTATTAGTCCTGACTGAGCTATAAAAATTGCTTGTATGATTCTTATGGTCTTTGGGGTTTTGTTTCAATTTCCTTAGCATTTGGCTAAATATTGGCATACAAGCCGTTCCTCGCAATGCAAGAGAAAATATTTTTATATTTAAAAAACCTTTAACTGATTAAATAATTTGTCCGTATAAAGAATGACACAATGCCAAATATAACACAGAAAAACAAAGTAATGAGGGGCTTGTAAGTGATATTGTGTATACTAGTTCCTTGCACTCAAATGTAATTTGATTTTAACTTTTTTTGGTTGGATTGAAGCTGTTTTGTAAGTCAGTCCTGCAAAGGATATTACATCACTAGGAGCTGTTTTTTAGGAATCAAAAAAGTTGAAAAAAAAATCAGTTTATTTTAGAATCTATTTTACCAGCTTTAAATACTCTCCAAAATTAAACTCAGGATGAATATTAAAGCAATGTTGAAGACAAAACTTGACACAACAGGATGTGATGGATGCCATTCTGTCCTTAAAGCACCTTTTTGCAACACATATAATACAGAATATTAATCAGTGTTTTAAGGCTGTGGCAGTTCCTAGAGACACAGTGACAAGTTAGGGACAGAACATCCAGCTTAACTGTGAATAGCATTGCCTTATTCCGCACCAGAATCCTCATATCATTTAAAAATAGATTTTACTTTGTCATCAGCTCCATTCTGGTATCACTAGTAAACTGCACTAGGTATAAAAGCTGCAGTGGAAATTGTACCAGCGCAGACACCAAAGTTGCTATCGGTAGTGTGCAATAGCTTGAGTTTTCATTTCAGAAGACACTGAATACTGACTTTAACCTCAATTTTTTTTTTTATTCCTAAAATCATACCAAGGATGTCAGCATGCTCTCATGCACCCCCGCACTGTGGAATTTTGATAATGTATGTCCTAACCGCTTAATTGATTGATTAGCTTACTGCAGCTTTCTGAGGCACCAAATTTATCTTTAATAGCCGGAGTCAGGCACGGCAGGCAATCGAGGGGGGGGTCCCTTGGCGTCGATTTGCTCTTAACTGGAAAGTCATTACCACTTAATACATGTAGATTGTGTTGAAAGAAAATTATGTGTAATGAAATGAGGGAAAAATTAGTGGAGTGTTATGGGCGAAAGCAGATGTTACGGAGGAATTATGCTAGCAGAGATAATCACCTTCGCTAGCATTGTGTGTGCTGGGGTGTTAACTCAGGGAGAGAGTTGGTGAGAGAGCTAAATAAATGCACTGATTTACACAGATCCACTTTTCAAACTACAGTATATGACTAGTACACACATCTACAAGCACATCCATATACATATACACACACACATACAGACAGGCTCAGGGCTGAACTTTTATATTTCTGAAGCTCTTTTTTAGCTATTTTCCAGCTAGTCATACTATATTCAGAAGTCCTAGCTGGAAGCACAGGGAAGTAGCTGTCGATTTGCATAGTATTGTGAAGATGAGAATAATATCCAAGGGCAGAAGTACTCGTATAAGCATTAAGATGAGACCTTGTATGCTTCAAACTCTGGACAACCTCTCCTGAGAGAAAAATTATGAATTTGAGAGAGATCTTTGAGGGTAGCACCAGACATTTTCAAAACTATAAAATTGAAATAAATAGCAGATAGTTGCAAAAAAATTATAGAGACATAGAATGTTGTGCCTTTACTTAAACAGCCTGTAAATAAAGGAGAAAGAAGAAAAAAAAAGAAAAGATGAAATCTTTCTTTTAAAGCAAGTTAGGAATATGTTTTAAGGTAGCAGTTCTGCAGACAGGCAATAATGATAACACACAGAATCAGGACAAGGGAGGGAAGAGAGATGTCACAGATTTTATTTTGAATGCATTTTAAAACTCTGTGAATTAATCTTTCACCTGTGGGCATCTCCCTGTCCTTTTCCAGCCATGACTGATATATATGCTTGATTATATTTCTTATATCCCAGCATACAAGGTCACTATTAATTTTTATCTTGGGTTTATCTATTTCATATAAAATGTGTTTGGATTTAGAATTATCTCTGCTTTATCACCCATTTCATAATAAAAATGCGGTCTCAGGAAGATATTAGTTTGCAAAATTCACTATCAAAACTATTGATAATTAGGGTTTCCTCATATATCGTTCTGTTCTTTCGCTGCTAAATGAGGCTTTTATGAGTATAGTTATTGCTGGTGATAATAATACAAATTTTAAAAATTAAAAAAAAGAAAACAAACCCTCAAGGTTTTGTATTCCCAGTATTACCGTTCAGAGATAGGAGGTTAGCAAAAAGACTGTCAATTTTCTGTCACTATATTAATGAGTTAAAGAAGTGCAGCCAGCCCCTCATGAATCAATTGGAAAACTATGATGAATGTTTCAATAATTAAGAGAATAATTAAATTGCTGAATATAAGATGGCACTAAATGAAATAGCTTTCGTAACAGCAGCATATTGCTGTTTATAAATACAAAGAGCCACATTTAACTAATGCTGAGTCCGGCTCAGATTTATCTGGGTGTCTTTACCAGGCTGTGGGCCCAATCCTGCAGAAGCCCACCGTGTAGACAATGTACCTCCTGCCTTAGCCCTGTGCTGGAGGGCAATAATGGTGTGTGCAGAGCTGAGCAGGGGCAGGGATGTGCTGCTCCATCCCATCCTCCCTGGGTACCTGCAGCCTCCCCACCTGCACGCTGCGGCCACCACCGCGGCGCCTCGGCGATAAGCAGCTAAACTTACACAGATAAGGGAGCCAGGGAATTTGCAGGCAGAGCTGACACTCTGATGGTAGCATGCATGATGCTTGTGGAAATATTTTTAAAAGGTGATATGTGTTAAAGGTGAACTGTAAAGCTGGAGTGAAAATTATGTTAAGTTCAGAAATATGTCCTGAATCTCTCAACTATCAGGCCAGTTTTACTGTAGCTTTCAAAATTCTCTTTTCTCCTGTACAATAATCTGGCAGTTTCTCCTTTGATAAGGACATTCTCAAACATAACTTTGTGTGATATCACACATACAAAAACCTAGGATGCTAAAAACGAGACATCCTAGAAAATTGTCCTTCAAACCAGGGTGTCTCAGAGAAATGCACATGGTTTAAAAAATATTATTTGGAAGGAAAACTGCAAATCATTCCCTAGGCTTGAAAACTTTTATAACTTGATAGGGTGGGGGGAGGAGGAGATGGTGGGCAGTAGGTGAAGTAATTAAACAGTAGCTTTTTATTTATTTATTTATTTATTTATTTATTCATATTTTTTTTCTTGATGAACCATCAGCATGTTTAAGCAGAAGTCAAAAATAAGGTAGGGCCACTTCAGGTGCAAAATTTAATCTAATGCATTTTCTTTTCCTGCCCATGAAGATCCTAAAGTGTTTTTTACTGCCCCGTCTTTCTCAGCTCCGTTTAACTGTTTTGGTGGTTTTTTTTTCCTTTTTGTCTCTTTTCCCCACTCACTTCTTCCATTCACATACCTCCTTCTGTTTCACCATACACCCATCTTCCACCAGTCCCTGGCTCTCCCTGCAGTGAGGACAGGTTTCATTTGTTTGTGGGAGAAGTGTATGGAAGGAAATTTTCTACTCAGTTCTGAGTTAGCCCCTCTTTGGAACTCAATCATAATGTCAGGCACAATTTTACCATCTTCTTCATCTCTTATGTTGCTGAATTTATTCCTCCTGTCTCCTTCAGTAGCATATTCCTGTGCAGTCAGAAAATCATCACTGATACACATATTTCACATTTGCTTTCATTCCTTTCCCATCTCTCTTCTACTGCACAGAGGCACCTCAGACACTCCCCTGAACCCCATGCCCCCAATATGTTTCTTTTCCATTTTCTTCTTCCACCTTCAATGCCTCTTTTCTACTCATCACATAAATATATGTTCTAGGGTATTTTGAAACCCAGCATTATGTACTTGGAACACTAGTGATTTGAGGTGGAATGAAGAATAAATATAGCCCTAATATGCTTTAAAATAGGTGAATTAGTTGAGCAGGAGACTTTTAATGTCACGTGGGTGGTCAGTAAAAAAGCAACAATTACCATGAGATGAAATTTGATATACCACAGTTATTTCCTACCCTAGAGATAGAGCAGTACCATGGTAACCTAGACTCCACTGTGTGGCAAGTCTTGTTAATTGTATAGATTTTTAATGGGGATAATTATACTTCTCCTGTCTGAAATCAATTTTTACTGGCAGTGACCAATGCCCAGAATGATATTCTCAAGGGGATGTTACATGACCTACAGTTTGTACACTTCATATTTTTTACTTATAGTGAGAAAATTTCACTTCCATCAGCGGAAGAGGTGTGTATTTTTTAACTTCTGATAAATCCTGATAAGAAATTAAAATATTAAAAGTTCAGGCGGATAGATAATCATTCCCTCTATAGGTTAAGGAATGC